ACAGTAATTTTAATATAAATTCAGCCCAAAGAGAATGAGAGTGGTAATCCACTGCCCTGGTCCCAAATCCAGTCATGGTTCCAATTATAGTGGATCCAAACTTGCTAATCAAGAGTTGATTTTTTTTTTTCCTGAAAAGGCACCTTGTTGGTCTCAGTGCAAGGGGTTTGGGGACTGGGTTGTTTCCATGTTCTTTGGTGGCCTCTTGATCTTTGGTCCTGGATATGTCATCTTTTGGGAATGATTTTTTTAATCTTCTGAGAACTTCTTGATTCAGGAGAACTGCCCTTGAAACCTTCTTAGGAAATGCTTTGGGTTGGAGTCCGGGGCCCCCTTTTCTGACACCGGCTCCATCTCCTGCTTCTTGGACTTTGCAGCAAACTGTCCTTGGGTTCCTGGAGTCAGCTCATCCCTCCCCCTGGAGAACAGGCCGAGCGAGCGGGGGAGTTGGCGCTTCTCTCTAACCAAGGGCTGCCGGGTGCAGGGCTGCAGAGGTTAGAGACAGGAGCGCCCAGGGGATTGGGCTGAGCCAGGACTGGACCTAAGTGTCTTGTGTTCCCCTTCTCCATCCTGTGCCCTCCCTCCCTTCGTGGTCTCTCCCAGGAGCAGTTTGAGAGCCCGCCCTGGGCTGTGTCTGCTTCTGAGAGCGTCCACCCAAAGGCAGACCCTGTTCTCCTAGGCCAGTGATGGTGAACCTTTTGAGCTCCGCATGTCAGCATTTTGAAAAACCCTAACTTAACTCTGTTGCCGTGTCACATACAGAAATTTTTTGATATTTGCAACCATAGTAAAACAAAGACTTATATTTTTGGTATTTATTTTATATATTTAAATGCCATTTAACAAAGAAAAATCAACCAAAAAAATGAGTTCGCGTGTCATCTCTGACACGTGTGTCATAGGTTTGCCATCACTGTCCTAGACTAAAAAATGGGTCCTCCTTTCTGGATGATCGAGGAGGGAAGCCTTCATCCCTCCCCCGGATCTTATGGAAAGAATATTAACAGCATTTGTGTGTGTTATTCTTTGAAGAATTATAGGCACATGTCCTGAAGGTGATGCTAAACTATGTTTTCAGCAGGGGGAATTCAGGACTCAATGAGGGGAGGGGGATCCAAGAAATATACACAGCCATTCTCTATCTACAGGGCTCCAAGTGCAAAGTGCACACGGGTATCAACTCACTTTATCCTCACGATTAGCCTCTGAGGTCTGTAAAATAGCTCTCCTCCTGTAAACATGGGGAAACTGAGGCATGGGGCATGTCAGCGGTTGGCATGATGATATAAGTAGTAAGTGGCTCCACCCATGTCAGAAACGAGAATTCTCCAAGGTTGAGGGAGCTTCCAGCCCCGTATTGTACCTTCTGGATAACTGGAGGCTGATATCCTGGAGCAAACCCACCCCACCACCACCACCACCACCACCTCCCAAAAACTGCTGCTGAACACAGACAGGACTTCCTGGAAGCACGAACGTGACCGAGATAAGCACATCATCCCCAGGGGAACAAACTGCCTCTGCATCTTGCCTATAACCGTGGGGTGGGCAGGGCTGGGGGAGGCGGGGACTGCCATCCACCATTGCTCTGACAACAAAGCAAGCCTGGCATCGCACGGAGAGGCCGGGACGCGTTCCCTACACTCCGCTGGAACTAGACAACCTTTCAATCCATTTAGCAAAGTGTCCGCAGTTCCCGTTTCGGGGTAGATGGAGCAATAATAAATTTGCAAAGAAAGTTAATCTTTGTCCAAAGCGTTTTAGTAAATTAAAAAGGGGGTGGAGGGGCAGAAGGGGGATATATTGATTCTTGCCAACTTCTGTTTGACTTACTGTCTCCTTAATAAGTCCTCTTTGGTCTTGAGTTTTTGGATGGAATAATCTGTCGGTTAATCATTTTCCGGAAGCAGGAAAATGCACTTTAGCTAATGCAGTTCCCTTTCATGCAGAGCCCTAATCACTTAGAAAGGCATCCCAATTCATAACCCCACTTCCCAACCAGGAAAGCCTTTCCCACCAGTCTTCTCCCTTTATCTCCCCGGAGAACCCCAGCACACCTCCCTCCCACCCCACGCCAATCTCGTACCTTCCATCTAATGTTTTGTGTTTTTATTTTTTTAAAGCAAATTCCCTTTTCTGGTCACTTCTCCACATGTCCCCTCAGGAAGGGTGAGGTGCTCCAGCCCCAACAAGTAATTGGCCGGAACTAGGCTCTCGAGCACTCCGGATAGATTTTGTTATTTTTATTTAAGTGTCAGCCGAAAATGGTGGCTCTTGTCTCTCACAGGGACCGTACTTAACAATAGCTCCGTGCTCTGGCATCACGCTGAGATAAACACACCCTCAGGAGCCCTCACAAAGGCCCCGAGATAATTGCGAAGGGACAGTTACCGAAAATGAAGCACCAGCCCCGAGCCTCCTCCACGCCCCATCAGTAACACCATTAAAGCCGTCAGTTTGTCAGCCTACTGGAGGTATTTATGAAATCAATACACACTCCCGCAGATGGATGGCAGCCGTATTGTCCGCCGGAGAGGAGAGGCTCAATGGAAAATGAAATTAATAAAATGTATAAGCAGATTGTCATGGAGAACAGATAAATTCCCTACAATCTACTGTTTTGCTCAGCTGTGGCAGGCAGGCCGGGGCG